TAAGGCTTGTAAAAGCTAGCAAAATTCCCAACTGTTTGTGAATTCCCATCAATTCCTGGAAGGTTTCTATGCTACCTACAAGTTCCCATATATAGTCACTAGATAGAGAGAGGCAAAACTCAATGCGGTGTATTCAATGTAAAGAAGTGTGACGAAGACACATGAAGCTTTCACTGTATATACACAAAATTTCATTTAGAGTATTGCACATCTTGTATCCTGCAGTTAAACCTTTAAAAATCTTACTGCGTGCATTTTTCAGCAAGACAGAAAAAGAAGATGTTATTTTAGGATTGCTTAACTATGCAATTATCAAATTAGCTGCAAATTATTATTCTGCAAATTAGTATTTCCAGTTCTTAAAATATGTCTGGAAGGGATATTTAAGTCAGCAATAAACCCCAGAGAAGTTTTTTTTTTCTCACTTTGTTTCTGGTTCCGATGCAGGTGCCAGCGACAGTATTACTCATTTCTGATATGTGGTTTTCTTTTTATAAGTGTGGCACTTTTATTTACCATAATGTGTCAAACGTTCAAGGTCAGTGCAGGAACTGGTGGAGCACCACCATTTGACAGCGTGTGATGAGGTGTGCTCCCTTACCGTGGCGACATTTAAGACAATTTATGAGGGGTTCTTTAAGAGGCGGAGCGTCACAAATACAGCAAACTTCTTCCACTCCAGCAGCAACTGAGGCAAACAGAAAAAGACAGAGAATAGCAGGGGAGGGGAGGAAGGAAATGTGAGAGAGGAAGACAGAGAGAGAGAAAGCAGTCAACAGCATTAATTTATGTATATTGATTCACATCCTTGCCACCTCATTGATTTCAGTGTCTCCTGTACCCTTTCAGATTTCACTTCATTTGATGAGCGGATATCCAGCCTGGTCCTAACAAGTGTCCAACTTCCCCTTTCTCTTGATGTTAGGTAGAGTGGGGGTGCTAGCTCCCCGTGGAGTCTAATAAACTCTTAAATAGACTGTAATATACCAATTACATCTCAACATGCCCCCTGTCAGAATACTCAGAGCACTCGGTATCATAACCTCAAACGTAACTGAAATTTCTCTTCTGCATTTTTCTTTGACAACAGTTGAGAGATCTTGAGAGAAAAGGCACAAGATTTGAACTTTTGAGCTCACAAGAGGAACAAATCAGACGAGCATTCATTCAACTCCTTCAGCAAAATCTGAGAGTGGAAGCACCACCTTTACTGCGAGTTCATCCGAGCATCTCTGTGTTCAAAAGCTCAAGCTAGATGCATTTTTAACCCAACAAGTACAAAGTTCTCTCAACAGGAAGCTACTTACTCTTCTTGCCGAAGGGAGCGGGAGGGGGGTAGGAAAAAAAGGAGTTTTTCTTACACGAGTGAATGTCCTTTCTCAGTACCCAGAACTCAGAGTTGTCCTCAAATCTCACCAGACAACACTGCTTCACTCCATCTACCTGAGAAGGAGATAGCAGGTGAGCGGAATGATTGACAAAACTAAATGGAAGTCTTTTCAAATCCAGCCAAACACATTCATGCACATGCTGCATACACACAATCAAAGGTCTCTCTGTCACACACAAGCATACACACTCATACATGCACTTACTCTTTTCACATTGCCGAGGTACAGTAGTCCATCACTCCATCGAGCCAACACATCATCTCCTTCACTTACTCCCCCCATCCTGAGGAAAGAGACAGAGAGGGGAGAGAGAGCAGGGCTCATGTGAAATGGAAATCCGATTTATTCGCTGAATACTTTGCTGCCATTGCTGACAGAGGGGTTTATGGCCCCGGCATTTCGACTGCTTCTGAGACAGGCGGGCTTCAGTGCAAAGGGGTTAAAATCTCCCCCCCTCCATCCGCCTCCTTTTAGACTAGAGCATAGCGACAGCCTGTATCCACCACAGTGAAAGATGAGAGTGAGTACACAACCAGAGAGCAAGACAAATGATTACTGCACACATCAAATACACATACACACACAGAAAAAAAAAACACTGCATGATGACTACTGCAATACAGTTTGACTGAATGAGCAAAGATCACAGTGCAGCTACTTGAAACATCTTCCCTGCACTTTGCTGTTGTCTTCCCCTCTCCCAACATCTTAAAAACTTGAATAGATGCATCAAATGACTCTGCAGGCATTATCTCTGCACATTGAGCATTTGTTCCAGTGCATGCACTCAAGTCAAGACAGACGCAGGATGCATTACAGTGTATGTAGCCTTTTGTGAGTCAGAAGGAAATCAGACAAATTTCGCTGAAAGCTGGCCGGTGAAGGGTACCTGTCAAGTCGAACTCCTTTCCGTCGGGGTCACAGTGATTCCTGGACAGGCTGGACATGAAATGCCCTCATCTGCTGTGGGTCTCCGCTGCCCAATTACTGCCAGCTCGGATGCGCAGCCTGCGTGTTTGCAAAAAGTGGATGATGTGCATGTATGTCCCTGTCTGTGCCAAGCGCCTGTGTGTGTCAGTCAAGCCGTCAGCGAGGAGGGAGAGGAGGAGGAGGAGGGGGGACTGACTGTCCGTCCGTCTCTCAGTCTAGTTTGTCCGTCCTCCGCGGTGCCGTTTCGTCATGTTCCCGTCGCTTTTGCTCTCAACCCCCCCTCTCCGTCACCACCTACTGATGCTATTAAGGCGGGTTTGTCAGAGCAGCACCGGAATCAAGCCGCCAGAGACGCCATCATCCCTGCCTCTCGCTCTCTACCGACTTGTTGTGACGCAGACATAAAACACCAAGATAGAGTGGGAGGGAGATACTGATAGAGGGGGATCCAGAGGTGGCGGGGGGGTCCTCCGCGAGAGCACCTTCCTGTGTGAGAGATTGACCCTAAATCGCTGTGACAAGGTGGGATTGTAATTTCTGAGAAAAGAAAGGAGGGTGGCGGTGCGCTAAAAGCCAGCGGAAGCAGCGCGCCCGGTGACAGGGGCCAATTAAGTAGCCAATTAGTGAGTTTAGCCGCCTCATTAATCGGTTTCAAACAAGAAGGGACCGGACAAGTTTAGGAAACCGGTGGGAAAAGTTTTCAGCAGTAGAAGCTGAGCAGGAAGATTAAACTGTTGCTTTTCAGTGCTGATTTTTAGCCGCTGCCTGCTAAAATGAACTGAATTTTGTGTTATCGTTCTTTCTGTTTTACTCAAGAATTTTGGGATAACATTAAACATTATTTAGAAAACACTACAATGGGATCCCAGTAGATTTAAAGCATATATGAGCTCAATGACTTGCAACACAACGTCACAGAGAATTATTTCCCATATTAACCAGATCTTACAATTTCATCTAAAAAATTAACTCCAAAGGCGACAAATATCCAGAGGCCATCTCCTCTGGGCTGTGATGTCTGATGGCTCACAAAAGAAAGAAGAAGAAAAAAACACATGAACAAATGCACAGTGTCCCTAATTGCACCAGTTCCAGTCATACATCCAATGCAGGCTGCTTCATTGAGTTCAGTCTTGAATGAACCATGCACGTTGTTGAGTATGTAGGGTTACTGAAAACCTATTAACCGCTTCAGAAAAAGCAAACATCGGGGGGAAGCTGCTTCCAGAGAGTCACAGACACGTTATTAAATTGTAAACAATGCTAAATCACACCGGGATTTAGATTACTCTTACAGTTAAATTGCTTTAGTCGAACGGCGTGTTTTGCTGCTTTGGGCTGCAGGCTCATCCATCAAATCCAAGGTTGTGTTTGTTTGTTTTTGCTTTCTTTTCTTGTTTATGTCTTGCACATTACTCACACCAGTCGAGCGTGTGGTAACACCGCCGTGCGGTTCAAAATGGCCCCTGGCAGATTAAAAAAAAGAAAAGAAAAGAAAGAAGGAGAGAAAGCGTAAAGTGTCATTTTCCAAATGTGGCCGCTGGGTGGCGAACAAACACCAGAACAGGAACTCTACTGAATCAGGCCTCTCAGTCTCATAGACTCGCAGGATCAGAGTGAAGTTCGAGAAAAGCCCCAGAGTTGTGATGATGATGATGATGATATGAGTAGGATAATAAGAAAGGAAGAACATTTAAAGTCCTCATGGCTCGTGGAATCTGTAATGTCGAGTCTTCACAGGTTCTAAGACAAAAAAAAAGAAAAAAAAAGAAGCTGAAACCTTGACATCATGGGTTTTTATTGCATGTGATGGGTGTGTTGTTTCTCAAGTTCCTTTCCGTGTCACAATTTAAAATGCATTTGCCATTACAGTCACACAGTAGCTGTTGCACTCTGAATGGTAGCATGGCCTACTTGTTACAGATGAAACCATTCATCCTTGAAGGAGCAGAGAAGGCAAATACTAACATTTAACACTACAGCAATGCACTAAAAACAGCATTAGATAATTACTTAAAATATGAAGCTAAACCTAAAAGTGTCTAGACTAAATGTCATGGGCCTGGGGGTGGGTCTGTGGCGTTTGGATGAATACCGATCAGCAGAAGAGTTCAGTTGTGAGAACAGGTGTGTTTCTGGGATTTCTCAGTGAGGTGGCACAGGAGTGACCAACAACTAGTGAGGGACTTTTCTTAAAAAAATATATCAAATCAGTTATATGAGTTAAATGACTTATATTGATCTTAAATTGCAGTCCTTGTGAATGCATTACAAGATGTGACTGCCCTGTGACAATGTGGCACACATAAGCACAAGATGCATGGTGATGGCACTAACAACGGTCTGGGTACAACTGTAAGGGTGATTTATTCTACTTATCAGTGGTAAAAATAAAGAGCAATATCTCTCCCGTTCTTTCAGCTCAGGTTTGTAAGGTAAAGACTGTTTCATGCATGTGTGTGTGTTAACTTTTCAAAAATGAAGAATGTATTGTTGAAAAAGTGCCACAAGTAGCCCAGATTATGCCCAAGAGTGTCTGCTGTCTAGGTTTGCATTGTGAATATGGATGTGCAAATATCCTTAAGGGTATATTAGTCTTAAAGGGGCCATCTGAATTTTTCTACACATTAAGCTACACCTACCAATCATGTGGGTCAACCTGTGAAAAGTCTTGCGTACTGCAGAGAGAACCTGCATTAAAATCTGAGGGTTCAAGTTTAAGCTGCTTCAGTAGCCTAACGTGGATTTATGAAGTCTGGTGATACAGAAGATAGGTCAGAGGTCAGGTGTACTTTTAGGTGTATGTGTTTAATAGGGACTGCTTTATAATTGTTATTGTAATATATAGGTTTATCAAAGTATCAAAGCCAATTTAATGGGGCCTGTTTTTCTGCAGTCAGCGTTCGTTTAGATGAAGTGAAGATTTTATGGATGTAAAGACTTTCAAAAATGAAGGGAAATGTGTTTGCATGTGGTTGTGCGTACACGTGCTCGTGCGCGGTCACGCTGTCTGCCTGCTGGTCCTTGAAGTAACATTTCCCCGGAGGTGACGCGTACGGCTGTTGCGGTGTGTCGCTATCCACACTGTGGGAACTGCCCGGAGAGACGGGTATGTTGCCAAAGCAGTGAATGCACAACGTACAGGAACTGCGACGTTAGAGCAAGAGAGAGGCGGAGAGAGAGGGAGGGAGGGAGTTTGCAGACAGACCAAAGTGCGCTATCAGCTGCTGAAAGCTGGACAGACGAACAGTGTGGAGAGACCGATAGAGGGGCGAGAGAGGGTGGGGGGGCGAGGCGGAGGATGGAGACTCCCTCGTCGTTGTCGGCGGTGACGGTGGTACAGATGGGTGCGACTCTCCTCAGCTGAGCTGGCCACCGATCCAGTTGCCCCGGCGGTCATCCAATGCAGTCTGGATCGAGCTGACCGCGGTTGCATAGCGCACATCCTGCGAATGAGACTTCGCTATCAGTAAGTTGAATTGTAGCTTCCTTCATTTATCTTCCTCTATTTGCTTAATTTTTATAGCCTAGCTCTTAATTTTTACGACCTTCGTGTCCCTGAGTGATTCGCAGCAGGAAGCAAATGTCATCATCTGTCACTCTGCTGTGTTTAAATACACGCGTCAAACTTTTACAGCCCTCACAGTTTCAAGCTCCATTCTCGTCTTCCAGCCCACATCGAGACTGAAGCTGTCATTAGGACTGTACATTGCTGTAGCACCACCCCACGGCTACATTAATTAAACAGAAAATAGGCACTATGGGGTGTGACTTACTGTAGCCTAGTTACTGCGTTATATGTGTGTACACCTCAGTCATATGTGGCTGTTTGCTTTGGTCAGGCCAGTGAATAGCAGCCTTTCAGACTTCTGCATAACCGTTGGTCAGCGAGATCATATGCTGCACTGGTAATGCTTTGTTTCCCCTGCAGGCCTGCTCCCCTTTCCTCTCCTGGTACAAACTTGCTTTCTTGAGCAAGAATATAATGAACCATCACAAACCCGCAGTAAAGACAGAGCATTATGCAAGAGAAAGTTTAGGGTTACACAAATTGTGAAGAACCAATACAAAATGAGTGGAAACAAGGGAATGCCATTAATGCATTTTTAGACCACACACTTTTTACGTTCTGATCAGATGGGTCATGTGCCTTGCTCAAAGGTCATCTGAACATGCTAGCAGGGCAGACTCTGCTGTTCTGTTGCTGGTCACATCACAGCCATTCTGTATCATTTGATCCAGGTAAAAGTAAGAAGAAACTGTGAGGCACGCAACATTTATTAATATGCCAAACTGCACAACTGAGCACCTTAGCATGTTTTTTAATAAAAATTCTTCAGGTTAACATAACTGTTTATGTGTCTGTGGTTGACATTTCCATCACCCTCATATCACTCCTATACCCGCCAACTGTCTCGCTCCACACCTCTTTTCCTGTAACAGTGTTTACTTGATGTTTATCTTCAGGGCAATCTAAATACCAAAGAGGGGAAAGGGAAATGGAAGGAGGGGTTGCTATGCAAATCCAGACCTGCTGTAGGGCACAGTCAGTGTGTTAAGCAAATCAACTCCAGGATACCATTTAGAGTGTTGCTTTTGTTTAAAATGCAGTTTAAAGGTTGTCTTAAAGTTTTTAAAGCTATAACTGATAGTTTGTCCAATGTGGAGCTCGAACATGTGAAAGTATTCACAGGTGATGGAACAAGGCACATATGACGAGCGTGGCTATACGTCATAAAGTTACAGTTCGTTTATTTACTGGAAATGACTGATGATTACTTCTTCAAACCTTAAGTACAAAATCCAGCTGCCCAGTGGTCACACATTTAGGGACATCACTCTGTACACTGTTACAGCCTTTCCTCATTTTATGAAAGAAACTAATTATTAAGAATCTAACTGAAAAATAGAAACATTTAGACTTCTCACATTTGTTATGTAACTGTCTAAGATAAGACATTAAAAAGCATCAAAATAAAGAAAATACAAGTTAGTTTTTGAGAAGAAAAATCGAATTCAAGATTTAAAAAAAAAAGCTCTGGGAAAAAAGTACTGTGCAGTGCAGGAATAAAGTGTCAAGTTTTAAGCTTTGATCTAAAACCTAGAAAGTTGGAGTGAGTGTCTGTGTTTCTGACAGTTTGTTTCAGATTTGTAGTGCTTAAAAGGAAAACATTGCTTTTCTATAATGAGTTTGGACATGTTAAATGAGTCAGTTGTAGAAATTTAAGTTAGTTTCTGGCTGCTGGCCTGATGTGATCCACTTTTATTGCCTTAGCACTACTGTCTGATACTAATGTAATTTTATACTTTTATGTTATAAGGAAATGAACATGTGAGTACTTAATTCATTCCAACAGCTTCTTAAGAAATATCTAAAACATTTCTTATGTGTCTCTTATCTGCAGCAGCTGGCACCATGCTACCCCGTAACATACGTACAGGTGGTTATAACCTGCCAGGGGTGGAATCAGACAATGTGCCCCTCATTGGCTATCGACCTTTATCACCTGACAGAGGAACCATAAGTGGCC